TGTCAGCAAGCTCTGCAAGTTTATCCATCAGTTTCTCTGCTGTCTCATTGAAGGTTCCCATTAGACCTCTCAGATACCTGGAAGTATGATAGCTTTAGACGGAGAAGCAGCACATCCAGGACATCCCAACAAACCATCACAGAAATTCATTAAAGAATAATGTTGCACAGAAAAAAAAAAGGGAGATGTTTCCAACCCTGGACAAGTGGTTAATCATACAGACTGTTGTGTCTTTACGTGGCAACTATGAAACTCACAGGCTGCTGAACGCAGGGTCCATGATGCGTCGCTGTTTGTACCACTGCTCATGATCCCGTGCTGTTACCAGCCCATTTCCAAAGAACCTGAAAAGATATTGAGAAAATTAATAAAAATAGCAAAATATGATTGCAACACAAATGATTTTAACTCTGTAAAAGTCAGGAGCTCAACAGATTACATTGTCACACAGCAAGTTTTATTATTATCATAGTTAAATTGCTGCTAGCATGGCTACACAGCATGTTAAGTTACTGCTGAGTTGCATTTAGTTTGAACAGTAATGTATGGATACATAAATACAAACTACTTGTGGTCAGATGTTTACATATATTAATCATTGGCATGAATGTCAATTCATGTTTTAATGATTTCTTTGAACGTTTCTTTCTCTGGGGTGGAAAGACTGTGCAGTATATAACTGGCTTCACAAGTGTAAATTAATTTCACAGTGGGTCAAAATTATACAAACATCTTCAAATATCTACATACACTACTGTCATGATCCGGAGTTTGTGACTCCGTGTTTATGTTTTAGTAGTTATTATTATTCTGGGTTTTATTTCCATGTTCCTATGTGTTCCCCAGTCTGTGTGAAGTTTGTGTGTTGTGTCATTGCGTGTATGTGTTTCCTGTTTTATTGTGAAGGTCTGCGTCTTATGTGAGTGTTTTCAGTTTGCCTCCCTAGTCTCGTCACGTTAATCACTCCCAGCTGTGTCCCCCACCTGTGTGTAATCTCCCTGTGTTCTTTGAGTGTTTTTAAGTCGTGTCTTCTGTCTTAGTCGTTGCTGGTTGGTCTGTGTTGTTTCCCCTCGGTCTCCCCCTATGTATTTCCCCGGACCTCCCTGCATCTTCGTTCAGGTTTGTTTTCTTAGCTCTGCCCAGTTTATTTTTTCCAGTTTTATGTTCACCCACCATTGCTGTTTTTACCCACTCCTGTAAATAAATACTCACCTGCACCAGAGCTGCCGCCTTTTGGGTCCTTTCTACAAACTCCACACGTCTGCCACACCGGACGTGACAACTACACTCCAGCTGAAAACACTACGTCCAGATGAACAGAATTAACTTTCTTGTACACTGTAGAAACTTCACCACCAATTAAAGCATTTATGAATGTATGTATATATCCTAACCCTAAATAAATTCTAACTTGTGCACTCAATTCTTATTGAGTCAGCAGTCAGCAGCGTAGTATGCTGTACAATCATTCCACCCGGGAAAAAGAAAAGCTCAAAGAAATAATTAAAGCCCAAAATTACCATGACATTCATGCCCATGATGACTGAATGTAAGTCTGAGCACAATTATACAACTAAACGAATCAGAAAATGTGATACATCACCTTTGACCAAACAGGTTGAAGAGTCTTTTATAGACAGACTTCTCTTTAAGGTACTTTGGGGACATCAGGATTTCCTGAAACCAGAAACAAAATGACACAAAAGTGTGACCAAGAAGAAGAAGAAGAGGGCTTTAAATGTGAACAAGTCCCCAAAAGGCCAGTAGCTGGCACTGTTTATTAGCAGGGACCTCTGCCAACAGGATTGATGGGTGCACTTTCACACACAACAGGTTTGTTGCACTGTAGTCATTTTAAACTGAAACAGCAGAGATACACAGGTACTGCTAATCACAATAATTCACAGATTTACAGAAATAGACCCTTTATTAATGACACCTGTGTACTGATGTGAAAACAGTCAGGTGACAAGTGTTTACCTTGGTGGCCTCTGGACAGTACGTACACAGTGAAACGTAGTGAAACATATTTATCCTGTAAACAGGTCCATACTTCTCCGCCCTGCAGGTGACATCTTAATTAGATCTTTTAAAGGCGAATGATATTAATACTGTAATACAAAGAGTACAGTAAGAACTGCAATGTATTTGTTACATAGGCAGAAATGTATCCCCTAACCCTATTTTTCTTCATAAAAACATCGTTTTGTTTTTTTTACCACTCCAGAAATTGTCGTGTATAATTCCGTCATTTTTCATCGCCTTCAACATCGTTGGTGAGTGTCCGAAGAAAAAACTGAGGAGGAAACAGCGAGTTACTCTCAAGTAACGTCCGCATAACTGCTTCAGCCGACGACCTTTCCTACCTGTCCCTCGGCGGCCCGGGGATGTGGTCATACTTCATATGAATGTATTTAATGTACAAGCAGTAGCCAAGAAACGCAATGACGAGCAGAAAGAAGAGAAACGTAAGTGCCCGAGCAGCCAGGCTCAGAAGCAGGCTGGAAAGTGCCATCCTGGAAAATGTCCCGGAGACGTCCGTGTTAAAGGTGTGTAACAAGTGTCCCTTGACAGTTCGCTGACTTCTGCCGTGTGATTGGCCCAGGAGCTTTAAAAGGTAGTGGGTGTGTGAGGGGAGGTCAGTGGTCTTCTGTGGGAAGTTCCAGACCTTTGGAGATTAATTATTAGATCTGCAGTCTGCAGATCTAATAATTTATTATGGTAGGTGCCCGTTTTTTATGCGTGCTGCTGGACTTATTAGTGTGAACACGAGTTTTAATGGAGGAATCAATCAAGCTCTAGATCGACTGCGCGCGGGGAAATCGATCAATATTGTAGGTATATTGAGTGTTTGTTTTATATCTGTGATTTTGAATCGTTTAATAACACTGATGTTTTATTGGATAACATTTTAATCGATAGTCTTGATCGTGTTTTGCAGCTGTTGTTGTGCTGCCTCTGCTTTAAAAGTCAGGTTTCTGTGCAGGAGCTTAGCGCCCCCATGTGTACACTGTTGGTAATTGCATTAAAAGAGCAAGTTGGGTACATAAGAAATCACATCACACTGACAAACATTAAAGTTTCAGTTTTATTTTCATTTACATAAAACCTGTGCTTAAATTAGTTACAGACACTAAAGCTTCTGTGGTTCAATGGCTATGAAAAAGCAACTACATAATATAAACTAAAAAATATATATCAGCAGTGTATAAAAGTAACAAATGGCAATACCTTAGAGACCAGCGCCCCTCAAAAATGTTTCTATATACTGACTATTGTAATGGGTGGCTCTGAAGTGTAGTGGTTAACACATTTGCCTATCAAGCAAAAGATCTGGTCATTCGCACAGACACACGACTCCTTTTGTTGTTGCATCAGAAAGGATTTCTTCCTCTTCTTTTTCCTGCTTCCTTTAGTAGTTTCCAGATCATCTGCCTCCACCTCATTCCATCCCTAGGATCCTCTTCTGTCACACCACCTCCACCAGTCATAGTCCCTACATTTTAAATTCCTACTCTCACCTCCACACTCCTACCTTCTCTCTCTCTCTGCCTCCAAACATACCTTCCCCTTTTACTCTTCCTTTGTCTTCAGCCAACAGCAGCACCGTTTCTACAGACTCCCTGTTGGCCAACAAGTAGTTTTATATTCATTATTGTAATAAATAAAAAACACGACATAACTTCATATGAATATGCTATGTATTTAAATCACACCATTATTGTTTTCATTACAAGGTTTTCTTCTTCTTTTTTAAGTGACAGTTTTAGATATGAATAAAAGCCCAGTTTTACTCTATAGACTACTATGACCTCTTCTAATGTATTGGTGCTTTATGGCCATTTATTCTTTTTATTCCCTGTGAGCGAAAGAGCAAATTACTCCACTCTTAGGTCTGAGCATTCCAGCATCCAGGATGTCAAAGGTCTGTCCCGGGACGAGAGTGAAGTCAAACCTCTGGAGCAGTTTGGCCATCACCACTTTAGCCTCCATCTAAAAAACACAACAGCGCCCACAGAGATGAGTCAGTGTGTTTATAGGTGAGCGGGTCTTCATGTTAACTTACGCTGTCATCCTCACCTGAGCAAAGTTCTTTCCCAGACACGAGCGAGGACCGAGGGCAAAGGGGTAGTAGCAGTAATAAGGCCTTGAACAGACGAGAGACAGCCTCAGTTACTGTGAACCGTTTCACTCATTTAGTCTGAGATAAAGTGTGTGCAAACATTAAACGGAATAAAGTCAGCATGGTGAAACAGTGTGTTCTTTACTTGGGAGCATCTGGGTGAAATCTGTCTGGATCAAATCTCAGTGGATCCTTGAAGAATCTCTCCAGTCTCCCGCTCACATAGGAGCTGAACTAAATATGAGAATAGGTTATTTATTCGTCTTGATTCCAGGTAACTGTCTTGTAGGGCAAGACACTTTACCCTACCGCCTACTGGTGGTGGCCAGAGGGGCCGATGGCACGATATGGCAGCCTCGCTTCTGTCAGTCTGCCCCAGGGCAGCTGTGGCTACAACTGTAGCCTCCACCAGCGTTTGAATGTGAGAGTGAATGAATAGTGGCATTGTAAAGCACTGTATAAATCCAATCCATTATTATTTATAATTATATAAAACAGAAGTTTATTTTCTGCTTTGAAGCTAGAAACACATAAAAAAAATCTATGACTCACTACAGCAACAAATCCTCCAGGTATGTGGACACCATCAATGACCATGTCTTCAGCAATATCACGAGATGTGGCCGGAGTCACGGGATAAATTCTCAGAGTCTCTTTTAGCACCTGGGGGAAGATTACAACGTTTATGGTGCATCTTGTTTTATAAAAACAAGACTGAGAGCCTAAGTTTACTGTTGATGCAGTCTTTCATTGTTAGTTGACTAATTTTGAATCCATGAGTGAACATGAGATTACAAATCACACTAAAAACATTACCACAATTTTCAAATTGCCACATGTACCTGTGACAGGTAGACCAACTTGCCCAGGTCATCGTAGCTTATTTCACGTTTCATCCCAATAACATCGTCCACTTCTTTCTTCGCTCTGAGAAATGAGAAAACTCCATAAGAAACCAAAGTTCACTTGTTCTAATGGAAACTGATGTCTGCTATATTTTGACTTTTTACTTCTCCAGTATATCAGGATGTCTTCCGAGTTCCATGATGCAAAAAGCCAGCTGATTGGCTGTTGTTTCTTGGCCTGAAATAGCACAAATGTATCAAAATTGAATATTACCACCATGAAGCTCAATAAAATGTTAAACATACACTATATACAAAAGAAGCTGCTGTTTTTCAAGTTTCAAGTTTAGCATTTCCTCCATTGCTTAGCATTTTTGAAACCAGGGGTCACAATCAAAAGACAGCTCAGACGGTGAAGCCAAGAGCACTGCACACTCATAATAGCAGCAAGCCATTATTTAGATTCCTGTTGATGCAGAAATCTACAAATACCATGTACTTCAGCATAAAGACTCGAGTCAACAAGGCACAAGAAACCTGTAACTCCTTGATGCTGCTCTGGACAACAAAAATCAATAACATCCACCAGCAACTCAGTTCAATTGTTGTGTCCACCCCCTCTCCAGAACCTTTTCTCTATTTTGAGCCGTTTTCAACTTTCCATCTTCCTGATTATCTGATATTTCTGAGTTTATATGTAACTCAAAGCCTGCCACATGTCATCTTGACCCTATCCCTACAGGGCTTGTGAAATCCTGCTTCTCTTCCTTACTCCCACTCACTCTGCTATCATTCACTCTTCACTCACCTCCGGTGTCGTCCCCTCCTTAGTCAAGATTGCTTCAGTCACTTCGTCAAAGGAGCTTGCAAAGAAGGGCGTCTGGACTTCTTTAAGTTACTTGAAGACGTTTCACCTCTCATCCGAGAAGCTTCTTCAGTTCTAAGGTCAAATGGTGGAGAGTCCCAGATATAAACCTAGTGGGAGAGTTTCCCCCCACAGAGGGACAAAAGGACCCCCTGATGATCCTCTTTGTCTCAGGGGATTAGAGGATCATCAGGGGGTCCTTTTGTCCCTCTGTGGGGGGTTACTCCCACTAGGTTTATATCTGGGACTCTCCACCATTTGACCTTAGAACTGAAGAAGCTTCTCGGATGAGAGGTGAAACGTCTTCAAGTAACTTA